AATGTCTTTTTGGGATGTGGGCATTGCTGACAAAGCAATATTTGCTGCCCATTCCAAATTGTCCTTGAACTGAGTGGCTTGCTAGGCATTTCAGAGAGCATTTAGGAGTCCAGCACATTGCTGTGGGTCTGGAATCACATGTAGTCCAGACCAGGTAAGGATGGCAGATTTCCTTTCCTAAAGGGTTATTTTTAGGACAACTGACAATGGTTTCCTGTTATCCATTAGATTATCTTTTAATTCCAGATGTATTAATTTAATTTAATTGTCACCATCTGGTGTGGTGTGATTCAAACTCATATCCCCAGAACATTAGCCTTGTTCTCCACATTACAAATCAAGTGACATTATTACTACCCTATCACCAGTATTATAGAAACATAGAGAAAAGGAGCAGGGATAATCCATTCAGCCCTTCACTCCTGCTGTGCCATTCAATATGATCATGGCTGATCATCCAACTTTGTATCCTGTTCATGCTTTCGCCTCAAAACCTTTGATCCCCGTGGCCTTAAGACCTACATCTATCTCCTTCTTAAAAACATTCAGTGTTTTGGCCTCAATTTCTTTCTGTGGAAAAGAATTCCACATTCTAACTATTCTCTGGGTAAAGAGATTTCTTCTCATCTCAATCGTAAATGGCCTACCTTGTATCTTTAGAATAAGACCCCTGGTTCTGGACTCGCCTGCCAATGGGAACGTTCTTCCTGCATCTACCTAGAGTAGTCTTGTTAGAATTTTATAAGTGTCGATGAGATCTCCTCTCATTTTTCTAAATTCCAGTGAATATAGTCCGAACTGCACTTCAAACATTATCACTAGCGAACTGAAATAAAATGATTAGGGGTTTCTGTGCAAATATTGTGCTCACTGTTAAATTATCCAGATATTTGACAAGTAAGTGTGTGTAGTTTGTAAAATACAAGCAATCACTTTTGATAATATCACAAATAAAAATTGAGAAATGTGATGCAGACTATTCGCTATCTTGATCTATTTGGTGTAGTGAACTCGTGGTTGTAGTTTTTCTTATTTATCCAATCCTAGGTTGTGTGCATGGCTGATGAGACCAACATGTATGGTCTATCTTTACTTGCTCTTGCTTAAGTGGTCATGGCCCACTTTCTTATACAGTCCTTGTAGTGAATTAGCTTCTTCAGTATTGTGTAGTGTGACGGTTACTTGGCACTCACCAGTCCAACTATGAGTGTTATCCAACTATTTCTGCACACAAACATAGATTGTTTCATTATCTGAGAATAAAACACATTGCTGTTTGAAGGAGTGAATGACTAGATGATTGTAAATAGATTGCAGTAGATATCGAGTCATAGAGTGTTTACAGCGCTGAAGGAGGCCTTTGGCCTATCCACACTGGTCATCAAACATCATCGAGCATCCACGTATTCTAATCGCATCTTCCAGCACTTGACCTATAGCCTTGTGTGCTGCGATGTTTCGAGTAATCACCTAAATATTTTGAGATGTCTTGTGGGTTCCTGCCTCAGCCACCCTTTCAGGCAGTGGGTTCCAGATACCTACAACCTTCTGGATGAAAAGAAAATCCTCAAATCCTCTGTAAACTTCTTGCTTCTTACTTTTAAAACTGTGCCCCTTTAATATTGATCCCTCTACTAAGGGGAAAACTCACTCGCTATCCCCCATCCTAGCTACCTAGTGACCATCAGTTCTGAGAAAGGGTCATTGGACCTGAAATGTTAACTGTGATTTCTCTCCACAGTTGCTGCCAGACCCACTGAGGTTTTCCAGCAATTTGTGTTTTAGTCTCTCCCTATCTACCCTGTCTATACCCTCAGAACTTTGATCACCTCCATCAGATCTCCTCTCAGTCTTCTCCACTCTGAAGAAAATATATGGATACAGATTTGCAGAAGGCATTCAATGAAGTGCTTCACAAAAGGTTTGCTACAAAATTCAATGTTTGATGCAAGAGGAAATGTAGCAGCATGATGGGAAAATTATTGCACTAGTGGCCTCCCAGACTACATTTTCCATAAATGTTAATTCATCCAAACCCCTGATACCTGGATCCTAACTTGCATCAAATGCTGTCTCACCACACATTAATTGACGAGCCAGGTAGGATGCCAGTCACGATAAATGCTTTCATTCTAAAATGGTCATTCTTCATTCTAAATCTCTCCATTGTCTCACCTTCCCTATCTTCCTTCAGACATGCAACTCTCTCTCCTCTGCACACTGCACTGATTCCTTTTTTTAAGCATTTCACTTACTTTAAAGGCAGTTCTTTGACTAAGTTCTAGTCCGCTTCTCCTGATGTCTTGATCTTTGATTTAGCATCTGTTTTTCTTAATCTCTATTAAACATATTGGGACAAGTTTCTGTCTTAAAGACACTATTTAAATGTAAGATAGTTTGAAATTAGGATAAATTAATGCTGTGGTAAGTAGTGATGGTTTGGAAATGGTATCAATTAGTTGGTGGAGCACTTTTGTTCGTGGTATTCATGTGTTATTTGGGTACTGTGAATACCACCTTGAAATTTATTGATGGTATAAAATTGGAGATTGGAGGTGAGGAACATTGTAAAAAGTTTCAGGAAAAAATTAACAAAAAGAACATTCAATTGAATATAGATGAGAATGACATTACATTTTAGATGAAAATATAAATGAAAGTGTACACTGAGGCAGAAAAAGCTAAAAGGAGATTTAATAGGGTTCTGGGGATGGTAAAGAATTACATTTACTTATGAAATTACAAGGTGTAGGCTGACGTTTCGGGAAAAATCTTCTGAAGAAGGGCCTAGACCTGAAACGTCAGCTTTCCTGCTCCTCTGATGCTGCTTGGCCTGCTGTGTTCATCCAGCTCTAAACCTTGTTATCTCAGATTCTCCAGCATCGGCAGTTCCTACTATCACTGAATCATGTTTACTTATGAAGACTGGTTTGGTTAAGCAGCCCATGAGGGTAATTGATTTTAGAATTATTACCAAGTCGGGAGTAAAGGGTGAGGTGAAATTTATTTTTGCAATGATGTTTCAGGAACATAAAATTATTTGATGCAAGGAACGCTCTTTCAAGGCAAAGTGAATAATTATTTAAAGCATAGAAGAATATGTGACTGTATTCAATGGTTCTTTAGCTCAGAAACTGAATAATATAAAACAAAAGCAAATCAGTGCAGCTGCTGGAAATATAAACAGAAAATTCTGGAAATATTCAGCAGGTCCAGCAACCTGTGAAGGGAGTGTTCCCCAAATGCATAGAGATTGCTCACTAAGTTACTGTGCGATAGATCTGGGCAAATGACAAAAGGAGCAATATGATCAGAAAATGAAAAATATTTTGTCTTGAGATCCTAAAGTGCAAACAGTATAAGAGTTTAGAAGCAAATTACTGCAGATGCTGGAATCTGTATTGAAAACATCAAATGCTGGAGATCGCAGCGAGTCAGGCAGCATCCATGGAGAGCGAACAATGTAACGGTTTGAGTCTAGATGGCGCTGATGAAATACTTCTTATGCATAGGAAATAAGAGTTCAATGCCTTTGGAAGTAAAATGGCTCAATTTTATGGTAAAGGGTCTAGGCCCGAAACGTCAGCCTTTCTGCTCCTATAATGCTGCTTGACCTGCTGTGTTCATCCAGCTCTGCACCTTGTTGTCTCAGATTCTCCAGCATCTGCAGTTCCTACTATCTCTGATTCAATTTTATGATGGATCTGTGGTGTGGAAAATAAGTCCTTAACTTTTCTGCACATCTTATTAACTGTAGCATGGACAAACATGTTTCACTACAGCAAAAGCTTGGTCACTTTTGCTGCTGTGAACTGCATTATTTTAGGTTTGACTTAATAAATAAATGAGCTAGATTATATGATAGTAAGCCATGCAACCCAGATTTATACTGTGATGTTTGATGAACTGGTAGTCAACACAACTTGTATTTATATAGTACCCTAATTGCAATGAAGTGTCTCGAGGCACTTCACCCAGCTATTATAAAATAAAATATGACACTGGCACATAAAGATGTAAAGGTAGATGATCTAAAGCTTGGTCAAAGAAGTAGAATTTTAAGAAGTGTTGTGAAGGAGAAAAATAAGAGCGGTTAAGAGATGCTGAGAAGGAATTTCCGGAGCTTAGGGCTGGATCCAGCTTGTTTGCCTGACCAGTCTTTTTCCACCTCCACCACCATCACCATCGTTCTCTCAGCTGGTCAACCTAATGACCATAAGATGTAGGAGCAGAAATTAGGCCATTCAGCCCATCGAGTCTGCTCTGCCATTCAATCATGGCTGGTAAGTTCCTCAACCTCATTCTCCTGCTTTCTCTCCGTAGCCCTCGATCCCTTTATAATCAAGAACCTATCTATCTCAGTCTTAAATGTACTCAATGACCTGGCCTCCACCACGTTCTGTTGCAGTGAATCCCATAGATTCACCACTCTCTGGCTGAAGAAGTTTCTCTTTATCTCCGTTCTAAAAGGTCTTCCCTTTACTCTAATGGTTAAACTGGACATGATGGGCAGCAACAACAGACGCTACACAGTTTCTCATTGAGTAGCTTAAAAAGGAACAGTCTATCTGCGGTATATAAAGGTATTGTCTATTGAAATAAACTGCCCATGCACAACAAGGGCAATTAACATTGCTGCTGATTATTCCACATTCACCCATACATTGTGACCTTGCATGCCTAAGGCTTGGCTGGTTGTAGAGCATCCCCCTGGATTGTTTCCAGCAGTCTGGATGCCGTGCTGGTCATGAGGCTGGCTGCTGGGTGGAGAACCCAGCACTGATGTCATGCAAGTATTGTAGAATTGCACCACAACATAGATTGCAGAGGAACCAATGATGCATGTTTTATAAGGAACAAAATAGCTTTAGAAAAGCAAACTTGGAAATTTGGGGCATGTGAAAAATGCAATAAACTAAGCTCGAATTATTTAACCACTTACATTCAATATTGATGTTTGGTCGGCCTGTGATATCTTACAATATTTATTTTCACTTTAGGGATTTTCGAGATAACAACGTTTCATTCATATGGAAAGACAACTGGTTATTTTATCCAGGTGCAGAATATCTGTGAGTATATTTGTGAGTTGCTGTAATAATAAAATTGTTTAACACGAGTAACATTCTATTCTTTGTTCCCTAACTTAGGCTGAAAGTCAGGTTAATACATCAAAACCAACTCTCTATATGAGCATTGATGGTTAATTTAAAAAAAAGATTAATTTTGTGTAACACAGGGTGATTAATACTGACTTTATTTTCTATCAGTTGTTTTAATTTTGCAAGACACTCGGAAGCAGTTGAGAATATTGGATGCAGCAGAAGCCTTGATCAGCTACTTCAATGTCATGTTCCGGCATGGTGCCCATATCCCTTGATATCATTCATAGCTAGAAATCTATTGTACCCTGTTTTGAGCTTACATAATGACTAAATTTTCACCACTTCCTGGCATAGAGAATTCCAAAAGTTTGCCACCCTCTGCATGAGGCTTCATCCCTCATTTCAGTCCATAAATGGCTTGCCTTTTATTCTGAAACTGTGTTCCCCGGTTTTACTTCTCACAGCCAGGTAGAACATCCTATCTACATCTACACTGTCTTCCATCAAGCATTTTGTATGTTGCTATGAGACTACCTTTCATTTTTCTGAATTCAAGAGAATATAGGTCCAGTCTCCTCAATCTCTCTTCACAGGACAGTCCCACCATCCTAAAAATTGTGTAGTGAGCCTCTGCTGCACTCCCTGAAAGGCATTTTTTTATTTGTTCATGGGATGTGGGTGTTGCTGTTTAGACTAGCATTTATTGCACATTCCTAATTTGCTGTGGGTTTGGAGTCACATCCAGGCCAGATCAGGTAAGGATAGCAGATCTCCTTTCCTAAAGAAAATTAGTGAACGAGATGGGTTTTTAGCGTAACTGATTGTAGTTACATGGTTGCCATGGGCTCACTTTCTCTATTCCAGATTTTATTGAATTCACATAACACCATCTGCCGATGTGGGATTCAATGCCATGTCTCAGAACATAGCTTGGGATTCTGGATGACTAGTCCAGTCACATTACTACTGCACCACAACCTCCTCAAGTATTTCCTTCCTGAGGTAAAAGAGCAGAATTGCAGGCAGTACTCCAGGTGCGGTATCACTGATGTTCTACATAACTGAAGCAAGACTTCTTTGGTCTTGTATTCAAGTTCTGTTGTGATAATGGTTATCATTGGTACTGAAGATCTGCCCACCATGCCCGTCCACTCCTGCCTTGTGCCACCATGGAACCATTTTTCCTGCAATATTTATTGCAGTTCCGTAATTATACATTTGAGCTTGTCTCATTTAATTTTTTGCTGTGCCTTTTTTCTTTATTTTTATTTGCAAGGTTACCTGGTTGATATTCTGGTGTACTATGTTTTTACTCAATGGAGAATTTGTTTGTTTCTCCATCATAAGAACATTGAAATATTTTAACTTGAATGTATGCGTTTGTGTTTCAAACTAAGACCAACAGTTGGATCCCAACAATAATATAAGCACCATTCTTTAATTAATTAAAGCACTTAGTAGTGATTGTAACAAGATCAGTCAGGTGAACATTGTAGTATGAGTTCCTTGACTGGGGCTGTTAATCTGGTCCAATCAGGGAGCCCTGGCTGAGAGATAAAATCAGGAGTCAGACATCCTGTTTACTTTGAGACCTGGTTCTGAGGCAGCTGGATCAAGGACTTTCCATGTGGAAATAAAAGGTGAATAGGTGATGGAATACAGGCCTTTGTGGAATTATTTCATTGGCAATGAGAGAAAAACACACTCCTGAAGAAACTTGCTCACAATAGTTGTCTTTGAGTTGGGGTAAGGATTTCTAGCATCATGTCATTATTTGGGAAGTTTGACTCATTTGATCCTGCCGTCGAAGACTGGGTCTGTATGTGGAAAGAATGTGTCTTTTTTGGGGCAGATGGAAAGCAACTGGTAATTTTGCTGAAAGCTTGTGGATCTGCAGCTTTTTTGGTTATTAGGAGTCTAAATTTCCCTAAGGCATCAGATACTAAAACCTTTCAAGAGTTGATGGATTTATTTAAAGAATATTATGACCTAAGCTTCCTCTAATTCTTAGATTCTATTCGTTTTACTTAGCAATTTGAGAATCAGGGGAATCTGTATTGGGATTTTTGACAAGGTTGAGATGACTTGCAGAGGCATGTGACTTTGCTTTAACCCTTAATGAGAAGCTGAGAGATGTATGTGGGATTAATGATGTAACTATGCAAAAGCGCCTACTAGCTGAAGCTCAACTGGACTTCAAACAGGCACTACAAGTGGCTTTATCATTGGAAAATGCAGCACGTGGAGCATATGAAATGCAGAATACTCTGATGGAAGTGGACACCCTCGCCAGTCCAACTGAGCATGGGGAATGACACTTGAGTAAAGGCATTTGCATATCTTCACTCAGGCCGTATTCTCAACAATGGGACTCAGGTCATCCTGCAGCAAAACATCAAAACAAAGCCAAACCTCAGCCAAACGGTTAAAATTTTGCCATCTGGGCTGGCAAGCCATTGTAGTTGCTGCCTGTATGCGGAATCGAGACAGCAAGAGTCCCACCAGACCTAAATTCTGTAAGAGAACTCATAGGCCTGTATCCAGGAGAGTTCACACCCTGGAAAGTCCACCTACGTCTGCTTTGGAACAGTTAAATTGCTTAGCAACATGCAAATCAGAACCAATCAAAATAAATTTCTGGTTAAATGGTCAGTCGGTTCTAATGGAGGTCGATACTGTCATGGCCATTTCCATGAATGCAGATCGAGTCTTTAACAAAATTCACTCTGGACTCCAACCCTTAAGTTTGCACAAGACCTCGGGTAGATTGAGAACTTATACCGGGGCGCTTTACAGATTAAGGGTACAACTTTGGTTCCAGTCTCTTGTGAGAAGCAGCTGGTTCAGTTACCACTGCTAGTAGTAAAAGCTCAAGGCCAAGCTTGATGGGGCAAAATTGATTTAGAAAGATTTACCTAGACTGGCTGAAACATATTTAATTAGAAAATGGTTGCCTGAGTGAAATTCTAATTTAAATACCTGGGAGTGTTTCAGGAAGGACTAGGGACTGTCAAAGGAGCCAAGGCCACCTCGCATATTGACCAAAAAGCAATTCCATGGTTCTGCAAGGCCTGGGCAAAAAGAAACTGAAATCAGAAGGCTGGAAAGCGGAGGAATCATTAAACCTGAGATAGTAGGAACTGCAGATGCTGGA